TTGTTGTCAGATTCTCTGACTATCTAAATGACATGATCAGTTTACAATTTGTCATTTTCTCTGATGAGAAGTCATAAGGAACAAAAGTTAATTTCTGTAAGAATAAGTGCTTCAATGTGTTATACATTTTGAAAGTTTTTGTAAAAAAAATCACTTAAGTTAATAATCTTAACTGAAGAATTCTGTAGTTACTAACAGTAGTACTAACAGTAAAACAAAAATTTTCTTATTATTATTACGCATATGCATTATTATTCATTACTTCTTTTTTCTATTAAGGTTGAACTAAGCAGAAATGGCACTGTTAAATACTGTGATTTCCTTGATAAGTTCCATGGACATGAGCCAATGAAATCAGAGAAATGGATCAGTGGAACACATAAGTAAGCAGATTCTATACTGATACATGAACATGCATAGAAAATTTATGTTAGTTTTTGTAGACATAAGATTTATGATATTCTTTTCACCTCGGTAACTTCAGTAAACTTCACAGGGGATCATTCAGGGTTTTTTTTATACCTTTATAATATCTGATGACCTTGAGTGTATTCAGAACAGTAGATCTGAGGATCTTCTGATCCATGGATCAAATATGGTGGACCCCACATGAAAGAAGAATTAGGGGGCTTCCTTTTGAGTGGGGTTGCCCATATTTTAGGCCGTGGATCTGTTAGTTCATAGATCATCTTGTTCTGAATGTGCTCTTAAATATGAACTACTTTAAGAAAGTATGGTAATATGCTCTTGACTTAATTTTTTTCTTATTGTAGATATATGCAAACTCAAGGCCCCAAGGAGCATATGAATATAGACCAATTAGAGAAAATGTTGAGGGACAAGGTTGGTTGTCTGTCTGTGCTCTATTAATTACTATTACCAAAGTTGTACACACACTGCATGATATCATTTGGTAAAGTAAAGCTTGTCCACTCCTAACCATAACTACATCATGTATGTGGAAAAAAATGAAACACTTAATTCTATGTAAAAATTCTCTAGATTAACATTACTACTTAGACTGACCCCAAAATAAACTGTCCAGACCCCTGTAGCGGGGGATGGGGCACTTTGGCTCCTTTCAATATCCGGCTATGATCCTGGCATTGATTAATGTACCTGTAACTAAGCCAATTTTTAAACACGATGAACAAAAATATTAGGACAGCAAAACTAATGAGCTTTTTAAGATACTGAGTGAGTGTTCATTTGGTAGGGTGGTGAGGAATAAAGCTCCTTGTATATTCAATCTATCCAAAGTCAAATTGTATCTTTTTTTTCCAGCTTGTGCCAAATGTGAGAAACATTGTTAAATCCTTCCATCTCTTTGATTATAACAGAGATGGCAAGGTACAACGTCATGACCTCAGGAAAGTCCTGGAGAATTACTGCTTCAAAATAACTGATCAGCAGTTTGACAAGTATGTTTCATAGAAAACAAATTAAGGCATTTTTAGATTGGTCGAAGTTGTAAAATAAATCAACATGTTATTGAGCTTTTAAGACATAAACTTGCATTTTGTTATGGGCCCTCTGTCAATTTTAGTTAGTACTGTAAAAACAGAATAATACTTTTATTTATTGATTGACTTGCTGATAAAATTGATTAACTTTGTTGTGTCAATTAAATTTTTGAACCTTCAACCAAATTTATGCAATGAACATAATATAATATTGAAATTCACAGCCAAAAAATGCCTTGCCATTTGCCTTTGTGCTAGATTTTCACAGTATATAATTTGATTAATCAGGCTTTGGCAGAGGTATGACTACCATCACAGTGGCTTGGTGGATTATATTGACTTTCTGCGGAGGTTGGGTGTCAGAGTGGAGAATACAACCACAAAACCACAGGAGCCACAGGGTACAAAAGGAGGTATGGCATCGATAACACACACACTCACACACACACACACACTTTGTACCTATATTACAGATTTAAAGACAGCCAGACAAATGGATATCTAACTATTTAAGAGACAGACAGACAGATGGATGGATGGACAGAGAGACAGACGTACATGCATACAGACACAAACAGGCAGGCAGGCAGACAACAAGAGACAGATAAAGGCAGACAGAGAGGGACAGTCAAACAGACATAGTTAATTTTTGAAAAATGTTTTATTATGTTATGCATATATAATTGTGAAGTTGAAACATAAAAAATCCACTAAAGGATATTGTTACCCTTTATTATAAATCAGATGCCAAAAATGAGTCTATTCCTGCATCTAATTTTTCAATAATGCCTTTTTCTTTGTGCTGATTTAAAACAATGAAAAAACTCTTGAAAATATAAAATATTGGCGTTTATAATTTTTCGTTGCAATGAATAAGCATAAGCAACTCAAAGCTTTAATCCTCAGTTTCATACCTTTCTATTTTGAGGTGTGATAGCAATCGGTATGGGGTGTAACTTCCTCTCTGAATGGGATTTTATTATGAAAATTGGCAGAGTTGACCAGGAATGTATAGGCTACAATCCCGTGCCATTATTTTGGTTTAAATGAAGTGAAGTTATGAGCCTCTAATTACATATTTTCATTAAACAAAGGCATTATTTTGCCTTATCAACGATAAAATCTGAACTGAGACTTTTAAGAAACATTGCTGGCAGGATTTTGGACTACTAAATGGTGCCATTAAATCGGCAATGAAATGATGATCTTGGGTGCTCAGGTAAAAGAGAAATTTGAGAAACTGACCTTTCAGTTTTTACCCCAAAATCACAATTATGACGTCACCTGTAACATGACATATGTATAAATGTTAATTAATTTAGTCACTGAACCCTGAAGATTTATTTATTACCCAAAAGGATGCATGTAAGGCAGTAAATAAGAAGGTCTGGGTGAAGGGTGACAATATTCTTAATCAGTTATAATGTTAAATGACATTTTTGTATTTTTCTTACAGCTATGGTCTGGGATCAAGCACCTTTGAAGCCCAAACTAGAAGAATACAGGAGAAAAATCTTTGAAGATAGGGATAATGCATTAAAGGGACTTAATTTTGACCAAATAGAAATAGAGTTCAGGAAAAAGGTACTAGTTGTTTAAGATACACTGTTCTGTTCTTTTTTATATTCTTTTTGTACTTTTAAACATTTTTGAATTGAAAGATAATTACACAAAATATATACATACTGCTGGTAATTATTATTACCATTTTAACCTTTTCTTTTGAATTTTTTTCAGATGAGAAGCAATTATGGCAATTTAAAAAGAGCCTTCCTAGCATTTGATGCAGAGAAAAATGGATTTGTTGATTTAGAAGATCTAAAATCAATCTTAATCAGTTTCACTGTTCCCATGTCTGACCAGCTCTTTCAACAACTCATGGAAAGGTATTTTACATGTTGTTCAGACTTGTCATGCTAAGTATAGAATCTATTATTTTAAAGATGCCTACACAATGTTTTGAAGGTAAAGAGTTTGTTTATTTGGTTCTATTCAGAAATTTGATGTGAATAATTATTAAAAATTATAGGCCTAAAGACAGTTATACAGTTGTGAAGTTAGAAATATGTGAATACTAAAAACAGTGTGCAGTTGAAAGCTCATTTTTCATTGTCTTTAATTGTGTGCAATTATTCTTTTATTCAGGTGTCTTGTCAAGGCTTCAGGTAAAATTCAGTGGGAGTGGTTTTTGGACAAGTTTCAAGATCCTCAGGGCTCTGGCAATGGACAAACTGTGCCAATGAGAGTAAATCATAAGTAAGTACCATACAGGGTTATTCAAAATTGGTAGGCACATTTTTTAAGAGAGAGAGACTGCCTGTAGTTCTTTTATTAACAAGTTAAATAAACTATTGTATTGTAGGTTTAGTCCTTAATGAAACATACATTTATTCTGGACATGTGTGCATATGCTATTTCAGTTGAGACTTCAACAAACACAGCAAAAATTCTTAGAAAAACTTGTCTTATGACAGCTGATTGCATCTTTTAAAGGTACTTCCCAATTCGTGAAACTGAAGAAACGATGGATGCTGATGGAATCTTATCTCTTCTTCGTAACAAGATTGAAAATGGTTACAGCAGCTTTAAGAATGCATTTTTGCAAATTGATCAGGTAAATACTAATATTAACAGTGAAATAAGGACAAGAGTAAAAATATTAAAAGAGTCAGCTATTAAGTAAAAAGAAAATAATTAATTACCAACTTGAAAAGAAGTAAAAAAAATTGGGGGGGGGGGGCGCATTTAATCTAATTGCTAAGAAATTATGTTTTATACCCTGAAAAGATATTGGATTGTTGATTAATAACCTGTTTATCATTATGTTTTAGAATCGTGATGGCAGAATAACAAGAAAGGAGTTCAAAAAAATTATCAAGAATTTCAAAATCAAGTTGAGCAACGATGAGTTCCAACTGATGTGTGATAGACTTGACCCCAACAAAACTAACTACATCTCATATCTAAAATTCCTACAGTTATTCGAACCAAGAGAAACTAAGGTAAGTAAAGGCAACTTAACATAGATTAACAATTTATCATCATTTTTTGTGTTTGCATGGATTTAATAGATTAAATACATGTCACATAATTACAAATGATTCAAGTTAAAATGGTTTTTGTGGTGTGCTCTTAAGGGAAGTCATTTATCACTAACTGTAAGAAAAAACAATTTCTGAACCTTCTTATTATTTCTTATTTATTTATTTATTTATTATTATTATTATTATTTATTTATTTATTTTTTTTTTTTTGACTTTTGCAGGAGGGTCACAAATGGCTAAATTCTGTTCACAGATTCAACAACCATCCTAGACCTACAATATTGGCTTGGGAAACAGTAAGTTTTTTCTTTTTCCTTTTTTCCCTTGGTGCACATTATTCAAAAAGGGTGTATCTGTTCATGCTTACACATACTGTAAATGAAGCCTCCATTTCAAACTCATCATACAGTGCACCATATTTACTACCAATACTTGCCCTTTTGCATTTAGGTCTCAGGTTTTTACATTTTTCTGTAGACTTAATTGTAGAAGAGTTACTTTCACTAGCACTTTCAGGCTTTATATATCCGCGAGTACATGTACATCAGAGGCAAACATGTACCATACATGTACATGGATATACTGTGCATTCAACCTGCTATGTTGCACTTTCATGTACTATATGTGTGTATTATTTTCTTTAGGTGGAGGAGATCCTGCGTGACAAGGCCACAGACAACTGGCGTCCTATCTCTGTGGCACTGGTTGCGTATGATGAGAGGGGAGATGGTATGATACAAGATGGACAACTTCGCAGGATTTTGGACAAGTTCTGTTTGCCTGTGTCAGAGGAACATTTTGCAAAGTAAGTATGGTAACTTTATCTTAAGCAAGAAATGATATATATTAGATTTTCACTTTTGAAAATAAATGAGATTGTAAATTGCAGTATGTACCCGAAGGATCAAAAGTACTGTGAGTCAAATAATGGTTAATTGCACAGCTACGTCTAAACGCTATGCTTTTTTGCTAGACCTTAATTTTTTTTATTCTTGATCCTATACATAAGTCAGTGTTAGGTGGAAATTGTGCTCAGTGATACAATAAATGTGTGAAGACAGAGGATATGTTGTAATTAATATTGTAATTTCTCTATTTCTGTAGCATGCTGAGTAGGTGTGAGAGCCATGCCAATGACAAGGTGAACTATGTTGAGTTCATGATCCGTTTGGGTGTTGATGTGAAGCCAGGGGATGTTGTGGGACTCAGCACTCAAATCACTGAGGGCAGTAAGCAGGAGGAACTCAGGCGTGCAACTGACCTGCAGGAAAGGTATGTAAACTAT